GGAGCCCCAACTCTGGGACTTGCTCCCTGGCAGGTTGTCCCAGCACACCCTACTGCTAAGAAGTGGCTTCACAGGAACATCATCAAAATGAGTTGACTGTTTCAATTTCGATCCATTGGCAAATGCCAAAGAACAAAAATGTCTTGGAAATGTTTCCAGGAAACTCTACATTGGGCACATGTGCAACTACTGTCGCATTCACATAAAAATGCAACTTGCTCATAACCTTGACTCTACCCCTGGAGCCACACCAGCCAAAAAAGTTCCCTGGTTTGTTCCCTCCATTCCACACAAAGGATTCTGCAGAATTTTGGTCACACGGTTCATACTTCCCACAATCATGCCTTCAACTTTGCTGGTCTGGTTTCTTCGCTAGTATAAACCTAAAATATCACTATTGGTTTCTAACACAATTTAGCTAGCATAGTTCTTGGATTTGAACAGATCATCAGCTGGTGTAAACCGGTGTAGTATCAATGGAGTGACCCCAGAGAAGAGTTTGATCGCTTTCTATGTGAAACCATGGCAAGACCCCTGCCTGCTTGATGCTAGCACATATGGAGAGGTAACTAACAAATCCACCAGCATTCATGCTGAAAGCTCTCCATGCCTGAATAGGTTGCTGCCTTCTGATAAAGCAGCTTGGTGAATATCTCAACCGTTATGGAAAGGTTACTAGCTAAAAAGGTAATTATTAGTTTCAATTTTCTTTTCTAACAGCTGGTTGGGAGAAAGCCTGACTGTCGGATGCACAGTAAGGAAACTGAACTTTCATTTCTGCCGAAAAGCCAACAGATTCTAAACTGACAAGAACCCACGGGTCTGACAGTATTCTCGATGAGCTGCATAAAAGCCCTTTCCATTTACGGGGGTGGCGGGGACCACCCCAGAATTCTCCAAGTGGCTTTTTAATCCCCGTGGCTTCAGGATAATTAAGGTAGTTAGAAATAGACAACTCTGCCACTCTTTTCTTTTTCCCAAAATAAGGAAAGTAACGTACAAATAACCAGGGAGAGATGCTGCAGCAGAAAGAAAATTAAAATGAGGACAATGGGGAAGACTTTAAGAGTATCTTTCCTTCTGAATGGTACAGGGTAAAAAAAATCACTCCTGCAGAGGGCCTATGGCCCATTAAAGCCTTTAAAATAGGGATTAAGCAGTGTGTTGGTCTGTGTTTCTTAAACTTTTTAAGACCGAGGAACACCAAACAATTTATTTTTATGGGGAACACCAAAGATTTTTTGTTGGGGGGGGGGAGGTCAGGGGAGAGTTATTGAGAAATAAAAGGGATGGGGAAAGTTACTGAGCAAAAAAAAAAAAAAAGTCACCTGCCCCTTTAAGGGCAGCCATTTTGAATTCTGTCGTTCTCTGTGGAACACCTCCGACTGCCTCACTGCACACCGGTGTGCCACAGAACACAGTTTAAGAAACACCGGTGTAGGTCCTAGCCAAGGATGAATTCCATCCCATATGCTTGTATGCATTTCTGGAAAGGAGGATGCAGATGGGGTCCGAAGGAGGAGGGAGGGCAGATGAAGGGGACAAGAGCACAGGAACACAAGACCTGGACATCTCTCTTGTTGGATAATGGACGGAGGGAAACCTGCTTTGCCAACTCTTGTTTTCTTAAAGCTCCAGCTCCTGGAGTCATGCTCTTTCACAGGAATTTCACAATTCTAGAGAAAAGCTTGAAACATGACCTAAAGGTTCAGAAACAAGACAAATAAAAAGAATCCAATGTGTAGGGTTGGCAAATCCTCCAGGATTGCCCTGGAGTCTCCAAGAATTAAACTGTCATTTTCCATTATGTCATGGGAAACCTCCAGGAATAAGTTCAACCTAAACCAGCAGCCCTACCAATATGTATCAGAAAAAAATCCCATGATTTTTTGGGGCCTGACTCCTGGTCTGAACGTTGGGGTTGGCCACCAGGGGAAGAGAGGATCACAAACACTCCCAAAGGATGGGCCTAGAAAGAAAACATGGGTCCAGTCAGGGCTGCTTCAGGGGCTTCCACAGGTCATTAATACAGTGTTCTTGAGCACTACGTACCAAGAAGGGCCAGGCTCATGGCTGCTGTAAAGTAGAGGTTTGTGCCTGGGATGTTAAATATCAGTTAACTAAATAGTCGATTAACTTCATGAATTCTTATCGGTTAATTGACTATTCTATAGTCCCTGGGCAGCCCCTGTGCGGGGGGGGGAGGGGAGAGGGGTCTGAGCTCCCAGACCCGGCACGATCCAGAACTGAGCGGGGCTGCCTGCCCGCTTGGCTCCTAATACACTTTCAAGGCAGAACCGCAGCGGGGTTAGGTCCAGGACCTAGTGCAAGCCGAGACTGAGCTGGGCTGCTGGCCAGCCTGTTAAAAATGTATTGGCTAAGGGCAGGGGGTGGGGGGAACCGCATGTAGTCTAGAGCATTAGCCTATAAGCTTTTGCTTATCCGTTAATCGACTACACTATTACATCCCTAGTTTGTGCACTGTGTTAGGACTGTGCCCTCTAGTGGTTATGTTAGATTTAGTACTACTTAGTAAAGGAAATTACAAGTTAGCCTTTGCTACCCAGAATCCTTAGCCTGGATGTCTCAGGAAAGTACAAAATGAAGCCTGATGGATCATTCACAGCATCTGTCTTTTTTTTTTTTTTTTTTAAACTAATAAAATCTCTCACAGGTGTACCACATAGTCCCATGGCTGTGGCTTCACAAAAGGGTGCATGTCGCAGCTACCAGTTTATGGCAGTCAAATGTGGACTTTTCAGGCACGTAAAAACCAAACCCATCAGCATCCACGTTACAGGATTTAACAATCAAACTCAGGCTCCCTGACTTAGCACTAGCAAATGGTTCCACATTGAGCTGCAGAATGAGCACAGCATGAGTGGCAACATGGCCTAGGCCACTCCATTCTCCTCCAGCGCAGCCATCTCTATTCCGCGAGAGCCAAGGATATGGTCCTTTCCGTCACTGGCCTCGTCGGCTTCAGCCCACGTTGGCAATGACTGAAGCTTGCTACCATCGGATGTCTGTTCCACTTGGGACCGACTGCGCTGGTGGTTGTGTGTTGCGTGCATGTCTGCTCGGAACTAAACAGACACCCATCATTTCATGCAGGATGCAGAGCAGACCTCAGATGGCAGCAAGTTTCCATCATTGCTAACCTGGGCTGGCATCGAATCAGTTACTTATAAGCCAGGGCAGGTCCGGCCTTAGGGCAAGGCAAGCAAAGCGGTTGCTTTGGGCCCCACGTTGTCAGGGCCCCACGCTGCCCAGCACACGCCCACCTGGCTGCTTGCTCACTTCGGCCACGCCGTGCAGCCAGTCACAACATGCCGGCTTGGACCCCACAAACGCTTTGGCCAGGCCTGAGCGAGGGGGTTCATATTCTGTTCCCCCCATGCCCACTGCCCTTTCCCACGGTCTGATCAACAGCATAGCAGCCACGAATGCCAGTGATCAGCATGAGCGGCTGCCTGACAAACTGGCTGAGTTATTTCAGGTTTTTCAATGACCCTCTCCCCAACAAGCAGCTGTTCAGAGCTGCCTGAAAAGCCGAAACTTTGTTTCCTGTTTTGTTGTGTTGCTTCTGACGAACCAAATCCCAGGTCACAAACACGCACAGTGCCCCATTGTGGGCTGCATGCTGCATAGCACATCTCGGCCGTCAGGAAGAAGCACAAGCCAAATACGGAGGGTTCGGGAGAAGGTTCTGACTTGCACATTTTTCCTCCTGAAAAGGTCTGCTCATGCAGAAATGCTGCCATCAGCCCCGGATTGCAAACACCCTAGAGATTGGTGGTTGTTTGGATCTGGAGGATCCTGCCTCCAGCAGTGGCCAACACCTGATGCTTTAGAGGAGGGCACAAAACTCCCATACTGCGTCTGGCAATTGCTACACAGCAATGGAGGTGGGAAGCAGCGGGATGAAGGGTGAATCCCTTTGTGACCCTGCGAGCAGACTGGCGTACATGCTGAGGCATGGGAGATCAAAGGGGGTAAACAGTCATAATGTGAATCAACCCTCTTGGTGGCCTCCCACAGCAGTGATAGAGCTAGAGCCTGACTCTGGTGTGCACGGAGAAGAACTAGAGATGACCTGAGCTGCAAGATTCAGCGCTGGGCTCGAGGGGCGTTCTGATCTGTGGCTTTACTGGAAACCCATTCCCTATTGGAGTGCCTCGATACACAGGCATAACCCTACAGCTCAGATCCTGGTGGCAGTCCTGGGTGGCAGATGCTGTGGTCACAAGACTAGCAAACCATTCCCTCCCTAACGTTCCATGGAGTCACTCCAGAGTCACACCAGTGGAACAGAGGATGGCGCCTGATCTCCCTATACCAAAACCTCCAAATCTGAAAACTGCCACTCGGGCAGAGGCATCCAGTCAACACACACTCTCAGCTGACTTTGGTAGGACTGCAGCTGGAGAAGAACATACACATCTGGGGGCCACGTGGCTGCAATATCCGCTAACTAGAGGGAGTTCAGAGAGAAGCAACTGAAGTCACCAGGCAGCTGGAGGGGCTGACTTAAGGAATATTTCAGGGGCTAACACGGACAACGTGGCTGCGTGACGACTAACGGAAGAGGAGGTGAGAACAGTCTAAGCGTATTATCACCCAGGAGGAATTATTGGGGATGGGTCAAACAGTGGAAACAGCTGGACTACAGATGCCCTCCTAAGTGTGAGTGCCACAGGAAGCCGGTATAGTCTCCCAAAGGCAAATATGGGCACCCCCATGGGTCAGACCCTTTAATGTTAAACTGGGCAGAAGGCTGTGCCCTAGGCAGGGAGATGGAGTGGGTAACAGAACAGGTCTTTTCCCCATCTCTACAAGGGGCCTCATATCCAGACCTAAATTTCCATCTCTGTTAAAGCCACAGCCATGTCACGCAGTGCCAGGTGCCTCAAGTAGCAATGGGGTTTGCACCATTATGTGGGTGCACCGGGGAGGAAGGAGGGGGGGAGAAAGTCTGGTGGAGGGGGGGGGGTACATACCATTGTACACCAACTCTGAGAATTTCAAGGCGAGTCCCTGCTTGATTTTCCGCACCTCCCGGTCCATGGTGAAGGCCTCAATATCTAAATGAGCGTGGTACAGGATCGTCCCCGCTGGGGTCTCGTAGATACCTAGCCATTTTTCCAAGCAGGGGGAAAAAAACAGAAAAAAAGAAAAAAACGAATGAGACCAAAACTGTCAGCAAATGACAAAAAATAATGACTTGGCTGACAGAAGGAGCTGTGCTTGAGCCCATTCAATCCCAGCTTGCTGTAAAATGCATCTGTCATTATATTCATGCTGGGGCCGAGACAGTCCACTCCGCGGCGTGCGGAGAAAATGTCTAGATTCCCCTCTTTGAAGAGGCACTCTGACGAGGCGAAATGACAGGGTTTAGGAGCCGATCCCCCTGCCGATGCATGCCCACCGGTCTGCGGCTGAAAACCTGTAATTAAACGAGCGATGCGGGGCACAAGCACGGGGAGATGGGGGCCTGAAAGACCCTCCGCTCCCCTCCAGAGGGAAAAAAAAACAACCGAGAACCACACATCAGCTGTGAAGAAATGAGGCTACCTGGGGGACGGGAGTGCAACCTCTTTTTGGGCTGTCGACCCCCCCTATTCTTTTCCCTCCCCCCTTCTGAATGGCAGTAGAGCTTCGGAAACAGCCACCACTAGAGAAGTTTAATTATTTTGACGACTGAATACTGTAGGGCCAAGCTGGTTGGGTTCTTCTGGAGGCCAAGGCAGAAAAAAAAACAACAGCTCCCTTTGTTCCAGCCTCTCTCGGCCGGATTTATTTTTGGTGAAATATGAACCACACCACTGGCCTCATTCACCTACCCGTTGGGCGCACACGATGCCTGCAGGTGAAGCATGTATATATCGCCACGTGTCAGACAGGCAGAAGGCCCACAGGTAGGCAGGCACACTCTTCAGGTACACATGCCTGCATGGTGACATGTGACACATGGACGCACCTCAATGTTTCAAGCGGCTCCAGTGCGATGGGCAATGCTATCTGGAGTATGGGTATGCAGTGCTGTTTAGGTTTGGCCCATCCACCCCTCTATAAATGAGGACAGAGAGTAAATGGGTCCAAGTCCTGAGTAGCACTATGACTGCCCATACACCAGGTCGCGACGCTACTCAGATTCATGGCCTGCTCACAGTGGGCCCGGGTCAAAACACCCCTTTTGTAGGACAGGGGCTTGGAGGGTCAGAACGGGACAGTCCCACAAAATCCAGGAGCATTGAGAAGTATATGCAATGTACATGCTCACTGTCTGCAGAGCACACACAGCATACATATTCAAGAAGTGCACATGTACACACACACACACACACACGCTCAATAAACATGCAGAATGCACAAACAGTAGGCTTAGCTACAAAACACATACATGTAGTATGCATATCCTCAAAACACATGTATACACACCCCATATACAAGGACACACCCGCCAGCCTTCTTTCCTCTCCTTCCCCATATTTCCAATACACAAGTGAAAACAGTGGCCTTAACTCGCATTATTTAATGTTTTTGATCCCGGCAACATAGCCCTGGGATCACTGATTAGCTAAATTACTGCTGCACAACCAGCAGGGGGAGCTCACACATTGTGTTTTGTTATATCACCCTACAAAAATAGACATCTTAAAAAAAGCAGCAACAATGTCAAACTGTGGTGGCTCCAAAATATACCTTCTGCTTTAATCTCAGGGACTGCCTCTGACTAATGGTGCGCACTAGAGAGGTATTCAAAATCAGTTGGGGATGTCGTGGGCTTTAACAGCTTTACAGGTCAATCCAATACTGCACAGGGCTGATTTCACTTCCAGTAAAGAAAAATGTAGCAAAGTATTAATCTAACTGGCACATTCAGTGCAAACCAATGGGAGAATCTAGCTCCTCGCAAAAAGGGCACAGAAGCATGAAAGGAACCAAAGGAGGAAACTGCCTTTGTCTAAGATTTGCTGCTCTGTAGATCCACCAGGGCCAAGGGGCGAAAGAATGATTTTCGACAACAACTATATCATGCCAGATTGGATCATTGGTCCAGAACATCCCATCAGGGATGGTCTCCTTGGTGTTTTGTTCAGTGCTCAGCACAATGGGGCCAGGTTCAGGAGCACTCCTAGGTGCTCCAGTAACATGCACCATTAAAAATAAAATAATACCCTGCTTCCATCAGTGACAATACTGGAGGCTTCGGAGTTATGAGGAATCACCTCCGTCAGGCACCTGACTGATGGGAGAGGGGAGGAGTTTCCTTGCTGAGACCATGGATCATGGAGATTCCTTCCTGTGGAGATGCTCTGCCCCTTGATGGGGCACGTTGTCCCCCGGCGAGGACAGCTGGCAATCGATGAACCTGCTACAGTCTTAAGTACAAGGGAGGGGTATTTAGCTGAGGCAATAGCCACTCATGCATTGAGAGCCAAAGATCTCAGGGTCAAGCCCCATGCGGCCAACCCAGCAGGGGTGTGGGTGTTACAACCAGGTAAGGCCTGGACCCTGCATGGGGACTGTCCTTACCCTAGCTCACAAAGCAACCAGGCATTGAATTGTCCAGTCTTGCCCATGAAAGGGAAGAAGAGAGAATGAAATCCCACTGGAAAGCCTAAAACGTGCTTCTGCCAACTGGAGCTGGAGTCATGCCCTATGGCAAGGGGAGGTGTCATTCATTCCCACCTCCCTGCAGGTGATCCAACCAGGAGGCTCAATTGCTGCCTTCAGGCAAGTCAAGCAGGACACTCGCTGACTCAGTTTCTCCAGCTGGACTATGCCCCCCCTTCCATGATTAGTCTGCCTTGCCTGTTTAGATGATGAACCATTCAGCTGAGAGATGGTCTTGTCACTAAGCAAGTGCACAGTGCCTAGAACGACAGGGTCTCCAGCACAATACACATAATAAAACATAAAACAAAGCAACGGGGGCACTAACTGGTACATGAGACTCTCTGGAGAGTGGCACATATTGGGCTTCGGAGAGGTAGCAGCAAAGCAACTGCTCCCACCAGCACACTCAAAAGCAACACGTAACACCAATAACACCATTAATATTCCTGCACCTTCCCTTTGAAGGTGTTAAAGTTAATTTGAACTGATA